TCATATTTTGTGTTGTCATTGTCTCAATATTCGTTTTTGGATGATGAAGAGTGTAATACTTTTGGGAAATTTCCCCAGAATATTATTCCGTATTTAGGTTGGCGAATGAAACATTTAACAAAGTACACCAATTCGCAGGTGTATGAAGTTAGAATTTGACTTCGGGATGTATATGGCAAACCATGATTTGGTAAACTTGTTTAGATCTGTGATATGGGAGTTCCATTTTAGATATCTTGAATAGTCAATCCAAGGAAAGTTGTTTTTCGGGCTATTTTTACAGGCATGTTTTTTTATAATCAATTTGCCTGGAGGCTTTTCTTTAGAGTGATTCCGAAAGTTTAGGGAGATTCAGTTATGGTGTTTATGATAGAGTTTATTATCTCTGGAACCATTTTACTGGTGCCTCTAAGAACGTTTGTGGTTTCTTTTTGTAGAGTTTCGTTGGGTATGTGCTTTAATAATAATATTTGTGTCATCTGCAACTAGGACCATTTTGCTCTTTGTAGGGTCAGGAGCATGTCATTGATGTATAATAGAAATAGTGTGGGCCCTAGATTGATCCCTTGTGGCACTACATAATTTATACATTCTACGGTTGGAAAAAGGGGTAGAACTCTTTATCTCTAAAATGCTTGATTGTGACTTCTTGACAACGATTTGAGAGGTAAGATTTAACGCTTTGATGTGCAATCTCTTCTAATTTCCACTGTTTTAAGTTTGGATAACAGTATGTGATGTCAGTAATGTCCAATGCCTTTGATAGATCTCGAAACAAACAATGGGATTTCTTACTGATCTAGAGCAACAAAATAGTCATTTAGAAAGGTGAAGAATTAGTTGTGTTGTAGATCGACAATTTCTAATCCATGTTGGGCCTCTGTCATATATTATTTTTGAATTGAGACAATTTTATGTATATTCATCTCAAGAGCTATTACCTTTCAGTGAAGCAAATTCATCTGTGAATTGTTTTATTCCTTTCAGAACTTTACTTTACGCCGTGGTTTGCCCCTTCATATAAATCACACCATTTGAACCGTTTGTGTGTGTGATTATTTATAAAGTTGTTTTTAATGTGGCGTGATATATACGTGCACCCACAGTGCCATGCTTTTAGCAAGTATGAACTTACAAACTTGAGTTTCTTGCTGATCTAGTGTACGTTAGCACGAATTCCTCGGTATTTCATAAACTGGCCGCACTTACATTGCAACTGTTTAACTATGATTAAATTGGGCAAGTTAATTGAATAATAGAAAATCGTGCATTCCCGAACCATTCGTCCAAAGAAGCATTTGTGACCCCCGCGCCATTTTGCCCAAAAAAAAAGTTCTTGGCCAAATTTGGGCATGCATTGAGCAGTGTTCACCTTACCAATTGATTAGCGTGTGTGTGAGTGTGCTGGTAGTCTCTGTACCCCAAGACTTGGAACTGAGCAGTCACAGCCGATCTGCAATGTGAATCCTGTGACGTCACACACGCGTCGCCACACTGACAGCAATAATGCTTTTTGTATGATTTCTGTTTTCACATTGTATTTATTTCAGGTTATGAGCTGCCACAACAGTATTGGGTATAATGCTATTATCATTCATAATCCATATTGAATATATTTTTTTAATTTCAGTCTTAGCAATTAACGGCGGTGAATTACTACGGCATTATACTATCTTACAAAAGAGTATTTTACATTTCACTTGTTTATGTTTGTGTTGCGCCCTCGATTTTATAAATCCCATTGCAACAACTTTTAATTTGTTTTAATCACAATATGCCTTCACGCACGACATTTATTAACAGCATTCAAAGAAATGAAATTGCATAGTTGTATGGTTTTCTCCATTCATTCAATCTACTTCTTCTCCTGAATTCTCCCAGTTAATAGTGACATCTGTAGATACTAACATTTACAGGCAATGCGTCTGCCGTCACATTCCATACACGCAGATGTCCTCTCAATTTAGGAACCTAAATTACTAAGGTACGTGGAAGGGGGTGCTAGTAGCTTCACCCCGAGCCATCATTTCGGAACAGCTCCATGGCCTCCAAAGTTAGCCACAACAATTCGGATTTCTGCTGACTTTAAGATATCCTAGTTGTTGATTTCATTGAAAATAACGTTAGGGGAAGTAAGATGTATTATGCAAAAGTCATCAGGGATAACGAAAAAGCGTTTTCATTATGGCTTTACATGTATTGAAATTGGTCATGAAATTTGAATACAGCTCAGAAAACTTTACAAATAACATTTTTAAAAATATATTTATTATTCGATAATAATATACTACATTATAATAACTTATACATGGAAAAATCATTAAATACACATGTTTAGTTAAGTTACTGCATTTTTCGTGAAAAATTACGAATGGAAGTTTTTTACTGCATTTATGAACATTCTGTATTTTTCGAAACAATTTATTACAGTTTAATGTGGGTAATATTTGATGAGAAGATAATAACCAATAATAATAATAATAATAATAATAATAATAATATGATATAATAATAATATATTAATTATTATTATAATAATAATTAATAGCCGATCAGATGGCCCAGATCGCTAACGCCAGTAGTGCCTGAGTGGTTCGGACAGAAGATTGGGGTTCGAGTCCGCTGCGGACATGGTTGTACTTGTGTGTGTGATTGTATGAGGTGTCGGCCTTTCACTCCTCGTGAATATCATCATTTCATCTCATACCTCCAGCAGAAAAACGATGATCTCCATAATGACACACGTTAATCTCTTGGGAGAAATGATGACTGGACTTGGAAGGAAAAGTGTTGCGTGGTCATAAACGGTCGATACGCATATAATAATAATAATAATAATAAAATAATAATATAATAATAATAATAATAATAAAATAATAATAATAATAAAATAATAATAAGCCAGCCTGTGGCGCAGACGGTTGTGGCAGCCGTCGTCTGCGCCGAGTTTGTTTACTGATTTTGCAGTCAACATCAGCACAATGATGACAACATGACAAGGCTAAAATCGACAATCAGAGTGTTAGCATTTGTTGTGGAAGATCAGTTCAGAAGTGAAACTGTTCCGATAGCACTGTCATCATTGCAGTCAAAACGAAACCATCATAGATCGTTTGGAAGACCTAGTCGCGCAGAAGGTATTATCATCGGCCTCAAAGTCAATTATCATCAGTAAGTGCTCATTAGTTAGGAGGTTCATGTGGAGGGACATATGGAATTTTGAAACCTAATGTTTAAATTATATTAAATTAGAAACTATGTTGTTATTTTTATGTCAATTTGTTAGTATACTTAAGTGTTGTTAGATTCAAATATGTCAATGTACAATGCTTTAATATTGTATCTGAGTGAGACAAAATTTACAATAATAATAATAATAATAATATATAATATAATAATAAAAAATATAATAAATAATAATAATAGGAGGGAGGAGGAAAGGGACAAGGAAGTGGTTTGGGAAAGGAGCTAAGTGATTGAGCATCTCCAGAGGCTTACTAGGCAAGCGATGGTGTGAAGAGTTTGAGAGTGAAGCATCTGCAGAAGCCTCAGAAACGAAGTGATGGTGTGAAGCGGTTTGAAAGTGGTTTATAAGTGAGTGAGCATCTGCAGATGTCTTGAAGGACGCGATGAAGTGAAGTGAAGTGAACTGACGTGGTTTGAGAGCAGTGGGCGGCTCGTGAACCCTTGGTGTAGGGGTGCTGCACATAACAATCATCAACGGCGAATAGACTGGCGCGGAGAGCAAGAATCGAGAACCCCCCTGTCATTCTTCTGTCCGTTCTTATACTACGTCATTTTTATAACTATTATCACACAACCGATTTACGAATTACGTACGTTCTGGCTTGAAATGTAGATACTACCGGCGTTTTGACCACGGGCCTCACTCTCTAGTTATGTGACTGATATTCGATTAACATGGTATGTGAGAACTTTTCAATGACATAAACAGGTGGCTGTTTCCTTCATTGGGAAAGAATTCACGATTGTCGCGCCGGAAACTAGGATATAAATTGTGTAGAACAAAGCGTGTGTTTTGACTGCGCACCAAGGAGGTTATCGCATTTATAAAGGACCCCGGTTTGGTTGTTACCAGCCGCTAAGAAATTACTCGAACACGACCTATCACCCACAACGAATAGCCCAAACCAACGAAACAAACAGAGGTGACGATAATCTTCCGCCAAAACATTTTACGCCCATTTACGAAGTCCAGTTGGGCGATGCAAACTGCATCCCATGCATGCGCTGCATGGCCCCTGTAGCCGCCACAGAAGCAGGGAGGAAATGAAAATTGGCAGTCCCGGTGCAGTGCCGACTTCTGGCAACCCACAGGAGCTGAGGAACTTTGCAACCTGCAGGGAGGAACTGGAACCGTGTGCCGAACGGCGAAAAATCGCGGTACCCCGGTATCCTTGCCGGCAGATACTTCTACAGGCGGCATTTTGAAGTAGCAGTGAATGGAAAATTCGGAATGCAGTTAAAATCAGTGCGATAATATTCCAATTATTCATCTCGCACATTGGTAGGGGGTGCGCAGCTCTTCAGCACCCAACGAGCCGCCTCTCTGTTTGAGAAGGAACTAAGTGAGTGGGCATCTGCAGAACCTTAGAAGGCAGCGATAAGTGAACGCGGTTGGAGAGAAGAGCTAAGTGAGGCCGTGAGCGGTCACTGATCCTTCGCGCCGCGTGGCCTGCGAAGGGGGCGTGGCCGGCGGAGGGAGCGCCAGAGGCGTCGCAGGGCGAAGGCGGCGAGCAGCAGCGCGGCCAGCGCCGCCAGCGCCACGGCCGCCGCACGTCCAGCAGCAGAGCTCGTACCACGCCAGGCGCAGCGAGGCGGCGGCATGGGTGCGGCGCGCCCTCGTGGCGCAGCACGTACTCCACCACCACAGCGCCGTCTCCAGGAGCGCGCCTTGTGCTCGCGTACACGCCCGAGAAGCGAACGCATTGCGCTCTCGGTAGGCCGGGTCGTGCAGCAGGGCGGCGAGCGCGGCCAGCAGCGAGTCTTCCGTGAGGTCGCCCAGCGGCAGGCGCTCGCCCACGCCGCCGCCGCCATCTTAGCCACGTTGAAGGGCTGTCGCCGATGAACGGGATGCCCAGCAGGGGCACGGCGTGGTACAGGCCTCTGGAAGCTCTGCAGGCCGCCTTGCGTGATGAACCAGCGCACGTCGGTGCGCTGCACAACACGAGTTTTGTGTTGTGAGGGCGGAACACGGTCTACGAGAGTGACTGAGGACTTGAAGGCGCACTCACCGAGGATGTCCTGCTGCGGGAGCACTTGGCGACGCGCACGTTGGGCGGCTGCCGGGAGCGCGTGGCCTCGAACTTCCAGAGCAGCGCTGCGGCAGGCGCGCCAGGGCGCGCAGGATGGCCTGGAGCTTCTCGGGCGGCAGGTCCTTGCTCATGACGTTGGAGCCCAGGCTGAAGTAGACGACTCCTTGCTCCGCGCCGTCCAGCCACGCCGCAGTTCTGGCGGGAAGGGGCGTGTCTCTTCCCGCACGTGCAGCCCTGTCAGTTGCACCACGTTGGGCAGCAGAGCCCGCGGGTACTCCGTCGTCCAGTGGTTGCACAGAATCATCAGGCTCATGTTGTACTCTGTTTCTGCCACCGGCGGCGGCGCCTGCCCGAAGTATTTCCGCATCAAAGCTTCCTGGAGAGAATGAGATATCAAAAAAAGGTAATAAAAGCGAGTCTTACAACCGTTGTTGCAACAGTCAAGGATTAAACAATTTTCCCTTGGAATTGAAACAATTTTTTTTGCTGACGATAGCAAAAGAGTATTCTTATTTCAACAAATTGTGTTTCTATAAATAACTTTTTATAAGATAGTTTTACGAAAAATATTGAGCGACACCGCCGATAAACAGCAAATGACCAATTCGGTCGAGTATATATGTCAAATTAAAAAACAAACTCTCAAATACATTAGTTCCTAGATTCGTCCAAGTATGGTAGAGAGCTGGATAAAGAATGGTATACTATTTCTAAGAGAAAATAGTGTTTTATGCGTAACGGTTTGCCTTTTGCACAAAATTTTATTTTCCCCCACTTTAGAAGATGCATATGGTCTTATGGTTCTCGTGTATCTCAACATTCATATAAACTTTTCGTATTACTTAAATCTGTTGGTCTGCCTCATACAATATTATGTGGAGTTGAGTGGTTATATGATTACGGGTTAGAGAATCGTCCACCCGAATTTGTCTATAAAATTCCGTTTCGTTCAGTACCCACCTGCTGCGGGAGTATTGTCCAATACCAATGCTGCGACAGCCACAAATAGATATAGGTATTTTCCAGGCGCTCCCAGAAATTCATATTCTCGGAATTCTTGCTGAATATGTCTGGATTTACTGCCGGATTGTGGGGGTTGCCAATTGCGTTGTAGTTGAAGGCAAGGCCTCCCAGGGACACCATGCCAATGAGGGGAGGTGAACCCACGGTGTGTAGGAGGCCATAGTACGCTTGGTACATAAGAGCTTCTATGAACACTAAGTCAAACTTCTCAGATGCGTTATACCTGCGGGTCAGATCATTGGACAGCTGTTGCAATAATTATTCAAATGTTGGTCAATCGTAAAAGATTAAAGTTTATACTATTTTCTCAACTTATAAGAAAATGCGTGTGTATGAGTTAAGAATTAATGTTCTAGTTCTGTTTCAAATTTTTACCGTTTTCTAAGTTGCCTAACAATACTTTTTAGACTTAAACTTTTACGAGATAAGATATTTTTAACAAAATGTCTCCCAAAATGAAAAAAATTTCGAATTTATAATAAATTTTTCGACAAATATTTACGTCAATTGGCTAATAAGAATGGTAGCCTTTTTTTAGGATTACAGTAATGGCATATTGATAGCAAGTCTTTTAGAAAAAAACATTTTGTCCTAAATTCAATAGGTGTGCCAATTAATTTATAACTAAAGTTATAAAAATATAGAAAGAATAGCTTTCAAAAACTTGATATTTTGAAATTTTACTTATTCCCTCTAAAACACACACAAAACGCTCCCGAATATCACTAAAACATGTACTTGTTTGACTGCACATCAAAATTAATTTGAAGAGAGAGACATTAAGTGTATCATTAATTGTTTTGGGTGAAAACATTGTATACTAAATTGAATTATTAAGCAAATAACATTGTTCTTATACGAGTTATTATTTTTCAATGTTACGTACTCTATTTTGAAACTTGGAAGCAGAAAATACGTATTCAGTAAACTACATTAGTCCTCAAATGATGCCTCAGCTCACCTGAGAAAGTTTTGAATTTGTTTGGAGGCCAGCTGCTCATCAACGATGATTTTTAAAGTGGGCGTCATATGCCTTATCAAGGCAATTGCGTCGCCGTCTGCCATTTCAGCGAATGTCGCGCTCTTTCGGAAGGTCTCATAACTAAAGGACAAGTCAATATCTGAATAATTGTTGACAGGTTCCTGCAAAAGATAAATAATGTAGTTTTAAAATTAATCTAACAGCCAAAAGAATGCATATTCTTTACAGAATATGGTTTTCTGCTGCTATTCGCTGTCATCGAATGAAGTATTGTTTTGAAAGCTGTGTTCTTAGCGTCATTGGCCATCATACGAGAATATCACTTTTAAGGATCAGGATGTCTCTTTCAAGGATGTGATTTACATTTTAAAGGAAATTTGTTGTGAATTGAATGAAATGAATTTTTGAATGAAAAAAATGCAGCAAAATAGCGTTTATGCCATCTTGTACAGTGTATTTCGCACTATCCGTTTAAAAAGTTTGAAGAAAACATTTGCTGACATTTTTGAGAAAATATATTTCAGTCAAAAGGGCGCGAAAACCACCTTTATTTTTTTAAAAAAATTACGTCATGAATTAAATAACTAATAATGGAAAAACAAATTTTATTTGAAGAAAAACTGTATATTTAATATTGTAGTTTTAGGAATATGGCGAAAAAATATTATTCCTTTGCAATATTTGAAAATCAGGGTTAACAGTGAAAATCGAACCTATGTAATGTTTATAAGTGTATTTCACTTTATTCTTAGAAGAAATTTGAAGAAAATATTTCATCTGTGTTGGAAAATCTTGAAAGTGAGCCATAGGTTTTATGCAAAGTACTCCCAAAATTAATAGAATTCTTTTCAAAATTGTAGTGCCTCGAGTCGAGCCACATCATGAATATTCGTACTGGAACAAATCCTACTAATACGAGTAGATTAGACGCTAGTGTTGTTCACTGTCGGACGGACGGAAAGGCGGACCGGCCAAACACCGACGTTTTGAAAAGAAAACACAAAAAACGCATTTCCTCAATGAGGGGACTATAAAACATGTATTTCTGTTAAAATCTAGAAATCTATTGTCTGCAGCATTACGTAACATTCTCTATAATACTTATAGACTCGTATGTATACGTATAAACACTTATGTAGATGAGACCGGGCAGGTTTCAGGTACAGTTTCTTTTTCTATTATTAATGCATCCCATAATATGAACTCTAGGCTATATTGTCTACAAATTGGAGGTCATCGCAGCATTTCGATCGTCAATGTTCTGTCAGAGTAATTTTTTGGTACTACCTATCCCGACTCGCGGTTGGTTGTCACAGACATTCGGGTTGGTTGTCACGGGTTAGGTTATGTAAAAAAAAAATTATTAATTGATGTGCAAAATGTTTATATTAAAATATAAATTAATCTATGAAAATGATAACATAAGAATCTATGATATGATACCAATTTATACACAAAAATATTCATGTAAGGGAATATTTAAGAAAATGATACGAGCCTAGTCACTTTCGAGCGCACTCTCACAATTTTGATTTGAATAAAATTTATTTGGTTCAGGGAACATATCTTATGACCCCACTTTTTAAATTCTATAGCCAGGTGCCATTTTCTTTAGCTTACTTACTAGAAAACGTCTCTAATTGAGATTTTTCGTTTCTCCTGCGTTTTACTTTCATATTTGTTAGATGTCATTATGTTTAGTTGTTTTTAAAGGGATTTTTCTTTGATTTTCGTTTTGCTTTTTCAGCTAATTGTTCACAATTTCTTGTAACTGGTGAATCTGTCAAAAATTGCCGTAACTCGCCTACGTAAATTGTTTATTTTTCCGTTTTCTGTTGCAAACATGATGTCTCGAACTTCTCCACTGATAATCTTTTTTTATAATTTTTATCCATCTTTGCCTGAATCAAGCGACAGAACTACTACCGCTACCCTACTACTAAGGACTAGAGAAAATACTTGCCGGGTAGGTTGTCACGTGTGAGAACCATCCCCACAAATTTTGTGACAACTAACTCCGCACAGCCCTTTAGAACAACAATGGGCGAGAATGTATGAGCTGGAAACATAAACATCGCTCCTATTCTCAATCTTGCTACATAAAATCGTTGTACAAATGTTATTAAGTAAATAGTTGGAATCCAGATTGTAGAGAGTGGATAATTAGCATTAACAGTATCAATGAATGAATGCTTACATCTGCAAAAACACAAAAACAACAATAACATCTAGAAAACAATCGCCAGAAACTTGAAAACACGTGCACCAACTAGAAATGTGTTTGCACTGTGGATTGCGTTTAGATCGGTAGGGAGCAATAGCGTCTGAGAACGGAAACATGTGACAACCAAACTGTGTGACAACCTGCCCCGGTCTCCCCTATTTGATCAAGTAAAAGTCACAAACCCTTGCGGGAGAAAGAAATAAATCCATTAAAAAACAGGTGAAGATAATAGGCCGCAAATAGGCCGCTTTTATAATGTTGCATATTTGTTTTTTTGTCGCCTTGAAGCAGAAAATTTATGGCTCCAAATGAGAACATTCTGAACCTTTGCTCAAGGTGATGTTTGTAATAAAGTAGATATGCTATGGTGTTCCAGATATATAATTAAAATGATAATAGACGATAGATTTGTAACCGTCTTTTTATTCATTCATAAGGCGATATATTGGATGAACCGCTTATACTTTCCCGCATTATTGGCAACAGTTGCATAATTATAGAATATTGCAATTTGTCCCCAACTAACTCTTCAGACATCACTCGAAAGAATACAAACAGCAATCGGGACCACTGCAGAGCATATCTACAATTCTATAGTCAGGAACAATAGCCATTCTTTACTTCTCCAAAAGAAACGAACATGAATAAATTTCAATACTTGAGCACATTGTACAGAAATCAAGGAAAATTTTACATATAAATTATACACCCAGAATTGAATGATTGATGACTGTCAACTACTAAGATCATTAGTCCCACACGGTAGTGCATGTTTTTATCGCGGGAGGGGTCTTCCCACGTTGGATGGCGATACTCGGAACCGGCCTACCATACCTTGTAATTTTTCCCCCAATCGGATATTATCCACCAGCGGGGCACTGGCGATTCAAACGAAGTGCACTGTTGTGGTCACGTAGTTCGTGATCGGAGCTCCTTACCTTCAAGGGATCGGTGCTGATGACGGTTACGTGGTGGCCCCGCGCCGCCAGCGCTTTCATCACCGCCTGCAGCAACAGGTTATCAATTACAAAGCAATTCTTTGAAATGGTTTTCGAAAAGTGCATTATGGAAAAAGGAAATAATACGAGACTATAAAATAATGAATCTTCTTTTGAAAGGGAATACATTATAGATTAATTGCTTACTAGTGATTTTGGGCGCGTCAACGGCTAAGGCCATTAGTCTCGTAAGTGTAATGCATATTTTTTACTCGGTTTGTGAACTTTGGCCTGTTGGATGGTGAAATCCGGCGCCGACCTACTGTCTGCTTGCGGGATTTCTCCCAACCAAGAATATCCTACCAGCGGGGACACCGTCCTAGTCAGAACAAGCTCTAAGCTCCCGAATGGTCTCCCGGCACGTGTGGCAATGCAGGGCATATAAATGCGTGTAAGAGGCGGGAGGACAGATTAAGGAATTCGAAGGAAAGATCGCGCGGGGTCCGTGACCCGTTTGTTAGGGTACTGCTCCGGCATTCGTTTGATGTTGATCGGAGAAATCACGGCAAACTACTGATCAGAGCAGCCGGCCGCTGGAATTCTCCTCCAGCCAGCGACAGAATTCCACCTAGCTATCTGGTTAGTGTCAAAAATCCTGTCTCCTTCGGGACTCTAAACCCAGGACCTCCCGGGAAGAGGCACTGCAGTGACGTCAGTTGATGTCCTGAGCTACCTCCCCCGACGCAATACTCTATAAGATAGCCAATTCAGATCCTAAAATTTGTATTACAGGGACGCAACTAGAAATAGAGCTTGAGAGCTAATGCCCCTCCAGATATAAAAGTGTTACTAATTATTGTAGGAGCATTGGAACGTTTGGAATGAGCACGCGCTTTCAGGACTCGCCAGCTCTGAGAAGGCAGCCGTTGTAACAGTGAGCTTCGAGCCAGGGCGTGACGCGCCTCGTTCATACAAGGGGCTTCGAACGCCAGAGCAGAGAAGCTGGTAACTGGGATCTGATGCTATTTGAATGACAGAGCAGGTCATTACGTGAACAGCACTGTTAATAGGGAGGCTATAACACTAGAGAAAGTTGTGCTGGGACTAGATACCACGGCTATACTTTGGATTTGGGTGTTTGTATCTCGTGAACTGTACTAATTGTACATTGTTGAATAATAGTGTTATTTATACTTGTTTGATCATCTTACTCTAAATGCTTCACTAATAATTAACAACGATTTTGTAGTAACGTTGCTTGGCACTTTGAAGAGCTCAAATGAACAAGTCCGTTCTGTCTTATGGAATATTGTAAATAAATTATATTCGAACCTTTCTCAGAGGAAAAGTTTCGTGAAATGTTTCTTGAAAATTTCATTTGGCGAGTTTTTCCAGCAAGAAAATTTCACATCAATGCAGTTAATTTTGTATGATTCTTTACTTTGTATTACGCTAACTTTGCCTGTCTGCATCCCTTCCGCATGATTTCTAGGGCATGAATTTAAATGTGTGTATATATATATATATATATATATATATATATATATATATATCATACTGTTATTAAACTAGCGGTGCTGTAATAGCATATTATTTCTCGCATTATTGTAAACAGCTATATAATATTGAAATATTGAAATTTCTGCGCTACTAGCACCTCAGCTATTACTTGAAAACGTCTAATACAAACCTACCGCCGTAATACGTATTTGTAGAAGAAAATGGATGCATCAATTTTAAAACTGTTTCAAATACTTAGTAATATAATTTTTCATAACAATGACTTCAATAAAATAATACCTCGAATACATTAAATATTTACCGCAAACTGTGGTGAATATCTGCAGAATTTATTAATTTTTGTAAGAAAGGATACGTCCGTCTGTTGGATTACCCATAGCTACGGTGTCACGTGCCAGTATGCTGTATCATACTGTGCTCAGAAAGTTCGCGTTACAGTTGTTCGCCTGTGTGTAGTTGAGTTTTGTTTTTTAGATTTATGGTTTTAATCACGTCAGAGTTAAAAATAATTCCGTTTAATTGCCTTCATTTTGATTTTTCGTTTGTGGTAATTTGATTACTTTGCTGTTTTTTAAATTATTTTCTTATTAATTAAAGGGAAGAAAATACGCTTTCGCAAAATTGGAAACATTCGACAAACTTCTTTAGTGCTAAACTACCGCTCTGCCCCATTGCGGGATTCGTCGTCACCATAGAGCGCGTAACTTTCGATTCATCTAGTAGAGCAGAAAAGCGCCACGTTTGGCATTACTGTCGCCTAAGAAACCGTTCTTCATTCTTAACCTCGGACGCGCCATGCATAAGTTAGCAATTGTATATGTGAAGATTTACCACAAGAATTGTGAGATTAAATTAATATTTGGAGAAATATTAAATACGGTAACGACAAGAATGGAGTAAAATACCCATAAACAAAAACATCGTGTACAATTAATATAAGAAATATAGCAAAATCAGTAATGGGAAAAACATAGGGAGTGGAATAGGTGACCCGTGAGCAATTTCCATGTAAAGAGCGTTAAATGTGAGAAAATTTATAATATTTAAGTAGTTCAAAGAATAAAGAGTTACGACGTAAATGCGAAGTTAACCAATGAGAGCAGATATCACATTCGAGAGATCGATGACGATGCGCGTACAGAGGCAGAAAGCAACGTGTTTGGGGAAGATTTCGCGCAAGAGAAGACGAACAGCACGCAAATCGAAACGAAAGAGAACTCGGTCAGATTTGGCCGTGGAAGGACGTGCAGATGGAACGCTCGCGGAGGATAGTTGTTTTTAATAGAAATAGTTAAAATATGACAAAGTGAAAATTGACGCATGTTTTAAGAGAGAAATGAAATTTACTTACATGGAAAACCGGAGCGAGGTGATTAATGGAATTTTTCTGAGTATGGAAATGGAATGAAAAGATGAACAACGGCGAAGCTTGCGGCATCTGTTTCTCAAAGGAAAGTAACAGTGGGGGGACATTTTGTTAGCAGAAAATGATGTATGAAGATGAAGTTGTGTTTTTAAATTTTAAGACACATAAATTTATAATTGGGGAAATAATTTGGCCAAAACATCCAAAGAAAGGGAAGGGTTTATATTAATAGAATATGAACACGTGTGTTATAATAACATTAATTCTGAAAAGAGGTATATTATTCAATTATTGCTATTGTGGTGATGACAACGTATTCAGGAGAATATTATGTATGTTTGTATTTACAGCACTGAATGAACGTTGAATGTCATCGGCGTGTTATAAGTATGTTTATTTCAGAGGACGACCTAGAGAATTTCCGAGTCCATGTTAAAATAAATAATCCCGTGTACGTAAATATTTCGTCATCGACAGTCCGTACGGACAATCTACCGTACCCACACCTGTGATTTATTTTTCGTGATAGTGATTAGCCGATTACTGAGTTCTAATTTGCCGCTGAGAGTTTTGTATATCATACTTGACGCATGGCACCATCCGTGAGCGCCTACGAGCACCAGCCAGCGAGCGCCTACCTGGAAGGGCAGCTGGTGGCTGATGGAGGGCGTGGGGAAGATGGCGAGGAAGCGGGCCGCCCGCGCGCACGGCACCAGCGCCACCATCGGCACCAAAGCCGTCAGCGCCAGCTGCCAGAGCACCGAGGGCCGCCGCATGGTGTGTGCGCCTGCGCCTGCCGTTGCGCCTGGGCCTGAGCGCGCGAGCGCCCTCTCCCAGGGCCTTACGCAACGCCTTGCGTGGCCTTCGCTCGCCCGCCACCCGCAATTATTGCCGAGGGTCATTGCCGGGGTGCTTTGAAGGGGGAGCGAACGACATCACGAATCATTATTATCGCGAAGGTGTTTGAAAAACATTCATTTAGTGCATTAGCTGGAATTTTCTTTCAGGGACAGCTCTGCCTGTGAATACTTTACAGAAAAATGTTCACGACGAATTTGAGGGTTTTGTTTAACATGTCACGAAACCTTGTTCCAAACTTTTTACACATTTTCATCTTTGTGCGATATATGACACCTGATTATAATCTGTTCTACATATGTTTGTTATACAATTGGAATTGACACAAATCATTCGATTGGTGATCAATTCGAATAAATGTAAAATAGTTTTAGCTGTGGTAGAAATAAAGGAGCAGCTAAGTATTTGCTTGGGAGCAAGATAATTCCATAAGTAACTACATGAAAATATCTTGAGATGATAATTAATGAACAAATAGGATGGCGTGGGCATGTCAATTTACTGTTGCAAAGAAGTGGGGATCTTTATTTTCTGTAAAGACTATGTAAAGGAAGGCAAGTAGTAAAAAGAATTAGAGTACACTTGGAGTGTGTAGGTAGAAGACTACGAAACAGTGGGTTGCGAACCGTACAGGGGCGGGTTATTTCTATCGAAAGAGCCCAGTAAGTAGCAGCAAAAGATAAAAGAGGAAATTAGTTAACAAATACTTATAACGAAGTATCGAGTTGAGAATCATCGGGGAAGGGAAAAAACAAGGTTATGTATTTTTTACAAAGCGTTGAAGAATGAGTCAGTATGGAGGGAAATTCAAGAACGACTGCATGAGCCCAGTTAGCACGTCTTCATAGGTGTAGTGCATGTTTCTTCCGGAGGTGGCGGAGTCGTTCCCCCCACAACCGGCGCCGACCTAAACGTTTGCTTGTAGAGCTTCCCATAAACTAGGTATCTTCGCATCTGGACACTGGAAGTCTGCATTCTGCCAGATACTTCGAATTCACATTTTTGAAGGAGAATTTTAACGACTACTGCTCTGATCAGTAGTTTTCAGTGGTTTCTCCTATCAACGCCAGGTGAATACCGGAGCAGTACCGTACAAACGGGCCATGGACCGCGCGCGGCCTTTCCTTAATCTTCCTTGTCCTTTCCTCTCCCCTTACAAACACACACACACACACACTTACATGCTCCATATAATCTTGACACACCAGTTGGGAACTTGTCCTTATGCGCTTATCGTGGCTGGGACGGTCCTCCGCTGGGAGAGATATCTTGAGGGGATCTCACCTTCCAGCAGGGGAGGAGCACCGCCACGTTCTGCGTTAAACTATCCACTTCACTAGATGGAATAATGACCATAACCGTGGACGTGCCCAGATACATCAATAAATCGTGTTCCCAACTGATCACTGCAATACCTCCTTGATCATTTCTACCGAGTGGCTACTTTCGCTCTTACGCCACGAATAGATATGCATGTAACTATTTCAGAAAGTAAACCTTTGGCACCCGAATGAAGTATTTAACATGATTACGCTAAATACACTTACGTACGAGATGCGTTCATCATTTTTAGCACAAATTCATGTACATTTAGAAGTACATACTTTTGGGATCATTTTCAATATGAGAAGCGGCAGAAAAGATTATTCATATCTCTCCAGTGGTTTGTTTACTTCGCATTACTTCATTGCTTTATGAGTCCATGACTTCTTTCCGGTGTTCCTTTTTTGCAAAGTCTAGTTTGCCGTACGCGAACCACAAAGTAACAGTGGCTAAGAGCGTGTACCAACTCAGCGATTCGGACCGAAGGGTCGCGGGTTCAAGTCCCGCCTTGGGCATGGTTGTTTGTCGCTTGTCTCTCATGCATATGTTGTCGCGGAGAGCCTTGCGCTCTGCTGACCACAAATCCGAGGAGACCGCAAAGTGTGTTAATGTGTAGTGTATGTTCGAATATGGGCCCCGTGGGGACGCAAAGGGTAATCGGCTGTGGGCCAGAAAAAGACCTAAGTAGTTCTACTAATGTTCATGCATGAGTGCTGAAAACATAATAGGTAAACGGGTAAGGTCACTAGTCTCGTAAGTGTAGCGTATGTTTTATTGCAGGTGTCGGTGGTCCTATGGGATAATTTCAAATTGCATATTCGAATTTTATTAGAATAAATATTTACGACTGAACAGTGTTGGTAAAGTGTCTCCTCTGAATCCTCTCCTCTTGGTTCTGCGACGCTTCTTTTTATGAAAATTATCAAACTTGAACTTCGTTATATAGTTAACATTCGTTTTTTGCTCGTTGTATATTGACCTTTTAAAACTTTAGGAAACATTAGATAAAGAACTCCGAATGTCCGTATTTCCATTGTTAAGCTAGAAACACTTTATTTAATGTTTATTTCACTCATACATATACAATAAGGCAATATCTTATATTAGACGAGTTTGTGTGTATATATACATATATAAGAAAGCATAATACACACTTTCTTATATATATCCCTAGTTAATTCGGTATATGACTTTTCAGAGGTTATCCAACTATTCCATGAAAATAAGCAGTTATACTCGTACGCTTGTGACAATATCAAGGTCAACATCAATGCTTTTGCCTCAATGATAGTCTTGTAACTCTCGAAAATAACATACTTGCATTATTACGTCAACCATTGCATGCAATGAATCACGCAATAGCGTTTCAAAGCACTTCATACAGAAAACTAAGTTCAGAGGTACGAATGGGTTTCATCTTCTCTTTGTAGGCTGTTAACTTAAGTGTCTGGAATCGGTGAAATGGCCCTGTATTATAGCCCGGTAATAAAGTAGCTATCAATTGTCCCGATAAACAACAGCAAACTTCCGCCGGCTAACAACAATTTGATACAAACAAAAACCTTATTGAAAAAAAGAATATACATAAAAACACTCTGATACTTAATAATTTATTAATGAAAATAACAGATTTACTCATAAAACTCGTCAGATAAGAAAGCATAATACACGTGACTGATCGGCATGGAGGATGTCAGGTCGCTCGCGTTTAATTTATTTAAATGTGGGCACCAAGCGCGAAACCAACCTCCATAGCTGTAGAGATCTCAAGAGGTGAGTCGATCTGGGTCGTGGTCATGCGCATGCTCTTTACTTAAAAATAACACTTTCAATTGATTAAGTGTTGGCTGTCAGAATGGCGGGCACACATTTATTCAAAATGGCACTATTTTATTACAAGGACATTTAATGACTTCGTAACTACGCAATCCCCTTCTTTGTCCATTAGGTTACAGTCTTTTTAATTCTGGACAGAACCCTACAGTGATAAATTTTGGGTTACCTCTCTGTAGTACTGTAGAGAATTGCTCGTCGCCGTCCTGGATTCGCGCACGCCAGGTGATGCCACTAGAGGAGAGGCGGCGCCGCAAGTCGAAAGGCTGGCGTGGGTTCACGTCTGGATCAGTCCTGGGTCCGCAGCACGCGCCGATGGTTGGATTGAAGGCCCTCGCTCTCGTACCGATGATGGCGTGTGTTTTTCACGCAGGGGAAGAGCCGTCATACGTCACTCTACCCGCGTCGGAATGCAGGTCGCGGTAGATTGCTCACCGTAACAAGCGCCATTCGGACGTTCTGGCTTTCGTCCGCAAAACGGGCTAAATTCCGTTAATGTGGTTGTTTGACTTGATAATTGTTTCTAAATAACGCACCGGTTTCGGAGAGGATGGCATCCGGTGGAGCGAAAACTTTGTAGCCGTCTTGTTGCCATTTCAAATATAATCTGAGGATTGAAAGATAGTGCGAGTTTTCACTGCATCGCGTATGTCCAGTGCGCGGAGCACGGGAATGGCGGTGGGGAGAGCTTCGGGGCGCGTGGGCTTATGACAATTAGCACATGTGAGATATCGCAACATCTCATTACATCCACTGGGAAGTAAATTTTCTGTTTTCTCGCATGAGACAGCGGTTGTCAACTCAAATATACCCTCGAAGGCCTCTAATGTACCGCCGAAATCAATATAATACCTTATACGCATCATACGTTTTGTACTGTGATAACAATACCATTCATCATTACGCCTACTTGTAGAAGAGAGTAAATAAGGCAAAGGCCATCGGATAAGACAAAGTATTGCATATTTCACGTGACTGAAATATTTTATTATGGGCTTCTTAGTAATTATGCATTCGCGCTAACACGCTCGTAAATAAATAATTATCTTGCTCATAATGGTATATTTCAGCCATTTATACAGTAAAATTTAAACATTATTTTTGCTAACAATTTTTTCTTGCAATGTCTGACTTTCGCTGGATATACCTCCAATGGACTAAAATAATAATAATTAGCTGGGCCAGTGCCCACACTTTGTAAATAATTGTTTTAATAGTGGAAGGGCTTTTAAACTGAACGCAACCTCAAAGGCCCAGCCCCGCTGACATCGTCGGGACCCGACCTAAGACTTCCCGGTCAGAGGCACTGCAGTAACGTCAGTTGATGCCCTGAGCTATCTTTGTCGGTGTGCTCACTGCATGTTTCACCGCAAATTCCCGTATCACATGTGGTTCTCACACTTCTTTGGATTGTTATTTCTATGTGCGTATCTTTTCGAGAGGGCTTCCGCCGACTCATGCTACAACTTACTTTGTGAGGAGAAGGCTCAACCAAGATCGTCCCGCGAGGAAGGATAGTATACTTTTGTTTTGCTAAAGAAATGTTTCAATTCTCGGGGAAATAAGTTGTTAGAATAAAACAAATTGTATTAAGCTCTCTCAATAACTTCTTTCATTCATGATTTTCTTCTTGCAGAGTTACTTCCTTTGGCAATGTTGTGTGTTTTTGTTTTCTTATGTGAAAGCTGTAAAAGGGATACAATTACTGATTCTATTCTTCTTCTTACTATTCATTACTTTCAAATTCAGCCAGCCTCCATAATGCGCGTTGTATATATTTTGAAAATGTTCATTCCCGCCTGAGATGTCATAATATTCTGGAGAAATACATCTTATAGTTCCAGACCTTTAGATTGCATAAAAGAATTG